CAGGGTTTGTTTACATCGACGGACGTGTGACGAGGAAGGGGATCCTATTAGTATACTTCTCTTCTCCAAATAAGAGGAGGTAGTCGACTAAGGAAATAATTAAATGAAGATTGAGGTAATAAATGTAAATACAAATGTCGCTGTAATGAGCTTATTGGGGTCTGGTCCATGCTTCGTTAGTGAATATTATATATATATATATATATATATTTATATATATATTGATATATATTTATATGTATATCTATATATATATGTATATATTTACATATATGTTTATATATGTATGTGTACATATATGTGTATATCTATATATATCTATATATATCTATATATATCTATATATATCTATAATGTATATATCTATAATGTATATATCTATATATCTATATATCTATATATCTATATATCTATATATCTATATATCTATATCTATATCTATATCTATATCTATATCTATGTATATGTATATGTATATGTATATGTATATGTATATGTATATGTATATGTATATGTATATGTATATGTATATGTATATGTATATGTATATGTATATGTATATGTATATATATATATATATATATATCTACACATATAAATATATGTATATATAAATAATATTATATTATATTATGTATGTATGTATGTATGTATGTACATATGTATGTATGTATGTATATATGTATGTATATATGTATGTATATATGTATATAAATGTGTGTATATATTTGTGTATATATATTTTTGTATGTGTGAGTTTCTCTCTCTCTCTCTCTCTCTCTCTCTCTCTCTCTCTCTCTCTCTCTCTCTCTCTCTCTCTCTCTCTCTCTCTCTCTCTCTCAGTCTCTCTCTCTCTCAGTCTCAGTCTCTCTCTCTCTCTCTCTCTCTCTCTCTCTCTCTCTCTCTCTCTCTCTCTCTCTCTCTCTCTCTCTCTCTCTCTCTCTCTCTCTTAGCTACCTTCTAAATGTGACAAGTTACAACATTTAACAAAGGTTTTCCTTATTTCAGCAGAAGTGAGCAATGGCAACCATCATAAAAGATCCCAGTCTTCCTAAAAACTGGGTGCGGAAAACGTCACGAAGATGCCCAACTGCTTCGTACTACTTCAACGTCAAGACTGGAAAGTCAACCTGGATGCATCCTGCCTTTCTTGAGCAAAATGCAAAAGCTATATTACCACAAACCATGCAAGAAAATGAGGGTGGGAATGAGGAATCTGCATATAACAGCGTTAAGAAGACAACTAATGAAAATCAGGTAACATCATCAACAGAAGCATCTTCTTTCCAAGAGATTGACACATCGAAGGAATCTAAACCAGAGCCTTTGGCTAACAGAGAAGCTGTTAAATTTGTCATAAAATCAAAGACATTTGGTGAAGGTGCAGCCAAGCAAGAAGGAGGCCAGTCCAAACCCAAGAAAGAAAGCACACACCTTCATCCTCTCTTGCTACATGCTAGGAAGATTGCTGAGAGATGCATCTGGTCAAAGAAGACTGGGGATTCTTCAAAGAAGGCAGAAGAAAAGACAGATTCCAAACTAAAAACAAAAGATTTTGTAAGCAGTTTAGATACAAAAATTGTAAGAGCTTTCAGGCGAATCAAAGAAGAAGAATTAAATACAAATGATGATGCAAAGGCAAAACTTGAAAAGAAGTCAGATGAAAGTTCCAGAACAAGTCCTGAGAAGGAAAAAGATGAAATACGGAAGGAGTTTGAAAAAAGAGAAAGAAAAATTGTTAAAGCAAGGAGAAGGCTTGTAGGTTTACAGAAAGCTCAATTAGCTAAGGATACTACAAAGAAAACCTCAAAAGATGATAATTGTAAGGCTTCAGATACCATAGATATATTTGAATCTTTGCAAAGAGATGTTGATAGCAGGATTAAAACTTTAAAGGAATGTTCACAGTATCCATTAGAGTTAACAGAGTCTCATGGTTCAGATTCCAAACAAATTGGCTTAAAGAGTGATAGTACCTTGAAAAGAGAGAGCAAAAATGTGAGATCTGTCATGAAGACGAATGACAGTCCCAGTACACCAAACAAAATTGAAAGGGAACCAGTAGTCAAGGAGAAAATAGAAGAGCTTGACAATGAACCAAGTGTTTCATTTGAAAAACCTCCAGCCTACTCTATAGGCTCACCAGTCTCATCTCCCAAAGAGAGCACACCAACTTCTTTAGCCACTGAGACCAGAACTGATGATTCAAAGTACAACTCATTTGATGAAAGAAGTGATGATAGAAGACACAGGAGAAGGAGGAGGGACAAATATCGCTCTGGATCAAAGAAGGCTGACAAAGACACTTCGTCTAAATCTACAGCAGAGGGAAGGAAGTCACGCCATAAGGAGGAACCAGTGCCAACAAAGGACTCAGATGAGGTAGTCCACATGGAAGTGGAGGAACAGGAGATCATCTCAGAGATTGCCAATTTTCGAGGATCTATCAGTCACTCCAGACACCAGGGTGTAAGTCAACTATTGACCTCCAAAATAGACAGCAGCTCAACATCCCTGTATGTTGTGGTCGATACAAACGTCCTCATCAAAGACAAGGACTTTCTGAATAGCTTGAAAGGAAGAGCGATTGAAGGGCAAGACACTGTAATTGTAATTCCTTACACAGCACTGCAAGAAATGGATGGCCTAAAGAAGAATGAAGCCATTGGTAGAGCATGTCAGTCTGCCATATCATGGTGCAACCATCATTTTGAGGCAAAAGACCCTAGGGTGCAGGGCCAGAGCTATGATATTTACTTGGAAACATTATCCAAGAACCCACGAGCAGTGAGTATAATGTAGAAGTTAATAAGTTCAGTAAGTTTGGGGGAACAGTAGAGATTCTTGCCTGTTATTTTAGTGTCCAATAGTAAAAGAGAAGCATAAGTATGTTATCAAGAGCTAGTATTGTTTTCTATATCCTCATTTTGATTATGAAATCAACAAATGAATAGGCAAGAATTTAACTGGTATCTTGCTGGAAGAATGGTAGTTTAGTAACAAAAAAAAAGAAAGAAATGAAACTTGAAGATAAGTATATTGATTAGTATTTGTGAAACACCAAGTAATTATGTTTTTTTTTTTCCAGAGTGGAGATGACCTCATCCGTGACTGCTGTTTGCTCATGAAGAAGGATGGGCTAGCCGTCTGCCTGCTGTCCAATGACATCAACTTGCGAAACAAAGCTTTGATGTCCAACATCTCCTCCATTGGTGTGCGTGATCTCAGAATCAAACTGGAAGAGACAGCAAGCAAAAAGTGCAATAAAATTGAGGAGGATTCACAACAGCTTGAAGTATTAGGCATGCCAGACAATGATGTGCAAATCTTAGAAGAGTATGGTTGCGTTCCAAGCAATCGGATAAGCCAGGATGAAGATCTAGAGAGTCCCTTACCAGTGAAGCAAGCGAGATTGTCTGCCAGCAGGGCATCTCATAAACAGAGGACACCAAAACATCCCACTGAAAGTCGCCTGAGTCTAGATAACTCCAGACACTTGGGAGACATCATAGAATCCTTGCATGCAACTCTTGGACAGATCCTGGAGCACATCATGATTGAGGCCTATGGAGACATTTGGATTTCAATTGTGATCCACAAACCCCCCTGGACACTGCAGGAGATATTTTTTTGCTGGGACAAGCACTGGCTTGCTGTGATGATTGAGAAGTTCCCAAGGGATTTGCAGAACCTTATGAAGAAGATCCGGTTGACACTGAAAGCAAACATCAAGGAGGAGGAGGACATCAAGATTCTCAAAAGAAATGTGGAATTACTCTACAACTTCTTCAAGAAGGACCCATACAAGAAGTTCATTGCACCTATCCATTCAGATTCTGTTTCGCTGTCCCCAGATGCTCCAATGAATGAAGCCGTAACACCTCCAAGAATGACAGATACTCATGAGGAAGCAGGTTTTGGAGAGGAAGCCCTGGGACAGAACACAATGGAAATTAACAATGTGCAGGAGATGATCAACCATGTTGGAATGCACATCACTCATTTCACGTGTGTAGATGCTTTCATTTTTTTGTGTGATTTTTTTTCTTTCCTTCTTTCATCATTTACTCTATTTAGATAATTTCTTTATATACCTTTGTTCTTTCTTTTTTTCATATTTTATGCCCATATCCTCACATTTTGATATACATCTCCATATATATGATTGATTGTAATGAATCTTACTTTCTTTTCCAGTGCTTTAATCCTTGATGCATATGGAGAATCCCATGATCTGCCGAAGTTAAACTCAACAACAACTATGTCTCAAGAAAATGCACACTCCAGTGCTGTTAATCTGTATAATGTCATAATGAATATGGGAACAGCTATTGTCAGGTAATATTGTTCACTCCTTTCCTTCTTTGCAGGACCAATGTATAGGGCACCCTGCAGTCCCTCTCTTTTCAATGAACAAGTAGTCACAAGTAGCATTACTTTTCCCAACATGCTTCAGCAATTCTCAGGTTTATTTTCAACAATAGTTGAAATGATAATGATAGCAATTGTGATATTAATAGGGATACAAGGAGCAGGTACTCTTGCCATAACACATTATTGCATTACATATTAGGCCCACCTGATAATGTTTAAGAGAATTTAAAAGGGTGTACCATGTCATATAGTTTGATTCTAGAAAAGGGAAGATCTTATAACAATGGACTATTGTTTTGCCAGAATTGATGACATGAAATCTGATGAGTCATTAAGAGCTGGTTCTATGATTGACTCAGGAAGACAAAGGGGGGGTACAAGGGAATGGGGGAATGAGGGTATGTTTAGGGGGTGTATCAGGAAGAAATTTGGGAAACAGAACCTGAAAATTTTCCACACATGTTCTACCTCCCAATGACAGTTGTCAGTAATAACTGCACTAAACTGAGTGTCCACAAACTTTGGGGTCTAATACATTATCCTTTCTTTCAGATGTGTCAATGAAACCACAGCTGAGTCAGTGCAGAACTTTGGAGAGCTCCTGATCAACTTCTGGGCCGAGGCAA